CTTAAAATTAAGAAAATATAATATGATTTTCAAAAATTAAAACAAAAATGATCTCATAAAATATTGCTGATTGAAAACTAGAGAATGGACATGACTCTTAAAGTAAGACCTCAACTTTACTTTGTTGTCCATGACAAAGTTGGCAATGAATAGGTAACCAAAATAAAAGATTATATGAAACAAAAGAAAAAAACATTTAAATTATTAATCAGAAAAGAAAGATTTAAGACTCCATTGTAAAAATTTGACTGCTTAAAAAGTATGCTACACAAATTTGAATAAGAATTGTTCAGCATTATGTACGGATTTTTACTAAATTTTTTAAAAGTTTCCTTAAGTCAATTATAAAAGTACATTGCGGTATGCAAAAAATAAATCAATTTTTGAATTTAATTACATGCAACTATGCATGTGGTTAGCTGTATGTGAACGGAAGTACATATGTACATATGTCTATATATCTGTCCATGTATATAATATACATAACCACAGGCAAGCCTTGCTGCGGCTCCTACTCCTATCACTGTGCATTTAGTAAGTGTTGGCGCCATGTTTTAATATACTCCATACACATGCATAAATTACATACAGACATGCACACACACACACCCGGTGCGCTGCAGTCACTTTAATAAGTTTGCTAGATTTGGATATACGCAGACAACAAATAGCTAATAAAAATCTACTGTGAAAAAACTGTTGCATTGCCGGTTCACAAAACAGACTAGCATAACGGAGAGCAACTGTGTAATAGAGCGAGATGGCGAGCGAGAGCGAGCGTCGTGCTGAGAGCCGAAACGAAATAAGCCGAGCACTAAACAAACGAGACAACAAACACAAAAGCGAAAGCGAGGAGTCGCACTTTCCAGCATAGTGCGTGACTGTCAACGGTTGCTATGTTCATATGTGTGTGTGCGTTCCTCTCTCTCTCGCTCTCTGTGTGTGCACTTTGGTAACGGCATTTTAAAGAGTTCGCATTTGCCTCTTGGCAAAACACATTTAGGCAACCGTATAGCATCCGCCTGCCGCGCCTATTGCTGTTCGCCTCTCTTCCCCACACTTCACTTGCAGCCTCATCATCGTCGTCGCCATCGTCATCGTCACCAAACTCTACACAATTTAGGCGACCGGTCATCGGCCCATTCAGCCGGCCGGCCGGCCGCTTGGTTCGTTTTTGCATTGCTCGCCATTATCGGACGCACTTTAAATCAGTTTACGTTATAACGTCAACAGCGACACTACGTCACTTTGCGGCCTTTGTCTGAGCACTTGTCTGTTGCGCGACTCTCTCTCTCACTCTCTCTCCGCCCAACGACGCGTTTTTACTTTTACGCGGCTAATTCTCAATTTCGGCGGCCGACTCAAACAACAGTTTGCTGTGCAATTTCCAATGAATTATCCCGTAATCATGTTAAACTAGTTCCAATTGCAAATATTCAAATCAAGTTGAGTAAGTCATCTTATTCTATATGACGTAAAGATTTCCATAGGTTAACCATTCCGGAAGTTAAATTTTTAATTTTTAGCTTTCAACAATAAAATATTTACAATTAACAATTTATGATTTGTTATATCTTTTGAGTGTTTACTTTTAATTGTTAAACCAATTTATTTAACTAAAAAAAATATTTAAAACATAATTATTAAGTAATAAATAATAAATATAATTATTTAATACTTGTGGTATAATTTTTATTTAGTTCTCATGAAAACAGTTTAATTCTTTATTTTATTTTGACTAAAAACTATTTTAGATATTTTTGTAAGAACTTTAACATTAACTTTTTGGATTAATATTTTATTCTTTTGAAATGATTTATTTTCTAATTTGGATTTTACATTATAATTATTATTATTGTTTTAAGTAAAAGATTTTTGTAGATTTTTTATAGTTATTTTTAAGTTTTATAAATTTTGTTTGTTTTTTTTTTTCGATTCCTTTAAATGAGTTTTTTATTTTTTTTTTATTTGAAGTTCTATGCAGTAAACTAATTTAAAGTAAAAACAAAAAATAAAAAATTAAGTAAAAATCATTTTCGAACTCGAGTTTATGGCGTTTCGAATAACGCACCCTGCAAAAATTATGATATCTCATTACTTTAATATAGTTAAAAAATAATAATGTGGCATTTTCCTACAATAAATAATATAAGTCAACTTATATAAAAATAAGAATAAATTGAATTTTGATTCGAGCTTTCTTCAAATCAAAGCTGTGCAAAACAAAGCAAAATGGTTTTAATTAAGGAAAATCAATTATGATAAATCTTATGTGAAAACTTAAAAATACTTAAAACAAAACATTTTCTTTCTCATATAACTTCTATTATATTTCAACTTTAAAAATATATGATACATAAAAGACAATATAAGTATGCAGAAATATTTGATAATGGGGCGTATGCGTAATTAAGCATGCGTAATTACGCATACGACCCATTACCAAATATTTCTGAATACTTACATTATCTTTTATGTATCATATATTGTTATATTTACTTCTTTCTAAACGGTTTCATAATGCTCCATGTCGACTTCAATATATAAAAAATAAGAAATATATGTTAATTCCCCTTTACTTCTTATAGAAGACACAATTAAATTGAATTTCTTGAAAAGTTTTTATCAAAGAAAATGTAAATATATTTAAATTTATTTATGTAATACTTATCTCACAAATAGCACAGATATTTATGAGAGCGCTTATAATGCGTTTGCATATTTACACATTACGCATACGCCCCCATTGGCAGTTGTGACCGCGTTTCCGGTGGCTAACAAACCTTCGCATGCGACTGTGTGTGTTTGTGTATTCGAGTGTGTGCCGGAGTGCATTTCACAGACGGGTCATGGCCACGGCCACGGCCACGGCCACGGCAACGACCATTGGCTTTTCGGTTTCAGCCTGCGCCTGGTTTCACTTTCACACACACAGACACATACACAGAGCAGAGCACAACACACGGAGCACAGCAGAGCACACGGAGCACACACACACACACACACACATACACATTGAGTGGCCGGGATAAACAACGCAATGGGCGCACGCGACTTGCACTCAGCCTCGTCTTGCCAAATGCCGGCAGCCGCAGCAGCTGCAGCCAACACGCCTCCTCCGCGCCCACGCACCACTTGACACCAGTTTTGCCTGCAAGCGTCATCCACTTGTAACACATTCGCATCGCATCGCATCCCATCACATCCCAGTTGTGGAGCCATGTTGACCAGCCCGCGGCGCGGGCGCGACTTGTTCGCTTGTTCACGACTACGACGACGATGTCGACGATGATGACGCAATGCACCCCACAGAGCAGAGCTGCACTTCCACTTCTCTTTTACTACCACTCTGTCCAACACACACACACACATGCATACGCGAGAGTTGCACTGCGATTTCCCCACTCTTCGTTCCCCCTGCTCTTGCACTGCTGGCACTGCTGGCACTGCGGCTCTCCGCATGAGTCAAAGTCGTGCGCTCTGGGGTTCTTACTGAATGCCGATTGCAGCCACCCCCAACCTCACACGACCCCCATTGCCACCATCGACATGTACCAAGTGCATTTACCTCCGCTTTGCATGCTGCAGACTGAGTGCTGCTGGGTGCAGCGACTCGCTTTGTGCTTTGTGGGCACGGAGTTTGTCGTTGATTCGTGTGCGTGGCCTGGTTTCGTCGATTGGCCTTGCATGCGGTTATTTCAGTGTCAGCAGCATCTTTGTTGTTGCCATCGATGCGATGCGAGGCGAGGCGAGGCGAGACGAGATGAGGCTTGGCATGCCTGTTACACCTACTCCCACTTCTGCTCCTGCTCCTTGGCCGCGCTTGACTTGCCTGTGCATGGCCCCATGCAAATCCTGCAGCATTTGCTTCCCTGTGCCCAGCTGCCCACACACTCGCATACGCATTGGCGGCTGGGCATGTTGCAGGCATTTTTGCTGCTTGATTAACGGTGCACGGTGCATGGCGCACGATGCAGGTCGCACGTTGCTATATGTCAAGGTAGTGACCCAGTTCTTAAGTGTTTCCCATTAAAGCGTCATATGCTGTTTGAGCTTTAAAGACGATTTGTTTAAAATTTGGTTTCTTATGCATTCAGCTTTAATCGCAGATTGATCATAAGTTCGATCATAGATTTTTGGTCTCTATCTTCGCCTATCTTAAAGCTCTTAATCTTTTGAGTTCTTCTCTTGTTCTGTCAGTTTCTATCATTTAGCTTTTAACAACCCAAAGAGAAGTTGAATCCCAATTTGAGTTTCTGTCTAACTCTCTCATAGAGTTAATTTAATTAAAAAGACTCAAAATAAATAAACAAATATTAAAATAAATTTTTTAAACTATTTTTAATTCCAATTGTTGACTAAAATTGCTATTAAAATTAAAAAATTCTTCAGAATTTTTTGTCTTAAAGTCAATAATGAAAACAAGTAAGAATATTTAAACCGGACGTATCCGACTGCAGAATACACGTTCACGGTCCGGTCACAGTCCGCATTTATAAATCTATATGTGAAGAAGGTGATACAGCTGCAAATTTTTAAGAATTTGTGATTTTACGATTTTTTGAAGGGGGAATTGTTCTGAATAAGCTATGAAATGTCGAGACACACGATTTCAGAATTGTGGAGCATACAGCTTTCCTGGTCAAATATTAATAAAATTAATTTTGTAATAATAAAATGGTAAGCTGCTCTTTTGTCAGTATTTTAATGTACGCTAATATGTCCATTATATATTTTTATTCATGGGCTCTCTATACGATACGGACGGACACTTTGTGAGCGAGTATAAAAATAATTAATCAAAATTCAAGATTTTTTGATTAAGTATTTCATATACGATTTGTCTAATAAACTTTTCTCAAACTGAATACTAAAAACTAAGAAATGTGTTTTACAATCAATGCTGATGGAGTGCATACATCATATGTGACATATATCTACATATATAATATATGTAAAATTTGTTTTTAATTTTCATTACAACAAGTTTGTAAGGCCCCATTTGTTAATATAGAAAATCAGTTGGCTTAGCCACAGCTCAAGATGAGAAAGAAGTTCCAACTGAGAAGTCCAAACTTCGTTCACTTTTACGTTTATCAATTGTATCTTTTATCTATGATCTATGTGTGCCTTATCTTAGCATCAATTTGACGAAGAACAAAGTTTTAATGCTAACCAAAGTACGTTTGGAGTAAAACTGAATTCAATTTGTCCGCACTGAGCTTGGGACTGGGATGTTTCTTCACACAGGTGCCACGGACTTTGCGATAGCCGAAGCGACAGACGCAAACTGGATTGTAGCAGTAATTTTCTGCCGGACAGTAACGACCGGCCGCACACTGGACCATCATGCAGCTGACCTCCTCATTGACGGCACAATGCACGCCCGCAACTTCATAGGGATCTGTGAACAGGTTGAGCCAATAAGAGCACTTAAGCCAGACTATAGGGAGCTCCCGACTATTCACCATTTTGTGGAGAGCTGAGCACAGGATTGAAACAGCCGAAAAGTGAGGGAAACAGAACGATTAACCAAACAGACATGACGTTACTGAGAACTGCATGATAACTTTGCAATATATGAAATTATTATAGTTCACTTAACGCTGGGTATAACTAATTAGCATGACTAATTCTGTCATGCGATTCACTATCAGATTATAACTGAAACTTAAAAGAGTCTAGAAATAAATTTAGTAACTTATTATATACAAAAGAGACTTACAAAAATAAAGGTGTGACACGTGTAAGCATGTCTCTAATTAACTAATAAGAAATGATTGCCAAGTAATTAATCTAATAATGAATTTTCTATAATCTATTTCGAACTGGTACTTGTTTTTATTTTTTTTTAATTAATTATTTATTTTTTATCCTTTTTGTAAGAAAAATCTCAACTAAAAATTTCACTTGATTGTTTTAGATAATTATTACCCTAATTAAAATATTTGCAAAAACTTGCATTTACTTACCTAAACAACACGTACATTTTTGAATATTAACATATTAACTTCTAATTTAATTGATTTCTATTTACAAATACAAGAATAAACCGTTAATTTTCACAATAACTTTAAGAGAGCAACTAGCTCTCGCTGACTCTCTCCCACGCGCTGCTTGGCCTATTCTCTCATGCTCCTAGCATTCACACAGACACACACGCATACACATGTATCGCAATGCCGGCACGAAGCTCGTACTTTTGTCTCGTGTTCAATACAACGCACACACATGCACGTGAATACGAGCAGCGCACAGGAGAAGTTGGAGTGTATAAGCGAGATGGCAGCGGGTCGGTCAGTAGCAAACTTGTGCCACACGCCGTTAGGTGGCCCTGTCGTGAATGCGGCAGCCGACACAGACGTAGACGCTGGTGTTGTATGGGTTGCATGACGTGGAGGCGCCATCATACTGCAGCAGTCGTAGTAGCTGCGACGACAGCGCATAACAACGGTAGTTGGGCGCCTACACTCCTTTTTACCCGGCCTAGCCAGGGCAACAATGCAAACGGTTTTTTCTCCTATTTTTGTATTTTTATATATGCCGTCGCGCGGGAATTCACGTCTGCTCGTCTCGTTAAGTGTTTTCAAGAGTGTGTTTGTGTGTGTGTGAGTGTTTGAGAGAACTGCAAACACGTAGCAACAACGGAACGAAAAAACGTAAAGCTACAATACAAATCGGGTGCACTTTCACATTGCTGTCCGGCCGATCGGCTGCTACGACGTCGTCAGCGCCAACGTCAACGTCAACGTTAACGTCAGCGTCAGCATCGGCTTTTCTTTGTGAGCGACGCGACGGGCGCCTTATTGCTGCCTGCTTCCTGCCTTTGATTTTTATTGTGTCACGCGTTCGCCGAAATCAAGAAAAAAAAAAAATATATATAAATAAAACAAAACTACGACACGGGTCTGAAGTGAAAGTCCATTTTACAACATATAATAAAGATGTCTCCGATGCATATTGTCTTACGACTGCTGCTCAAAAGTGAGCTGATATTTAAGTACACATGTATGTGTGTAGTTGTATTTCTGTGTTTGCGTTCCTCTCTCAATTAAACGCGACACTAATTTGCGTACTTAGTGAAAATCGATATGGCCAAAACTTGCCTTTTACGCGATGCTTTAGCTGACACTTTTCATCTAACGTTTTTTTTTTGTTGGTTTAGCACAGATTAACGGATTCTTGACTTTTTGCTGAATTTTGAGCAATTTATGCAAAATATTGTTATAAAATCACACACGCACACATACGTAAATGCAGGCACATGTACACTAACGGGACAACCCTAACCTAAACACAATGTGCCGACATACTGAAAGCGAACTGCCGCACAGTGGTATGAAATGTTGTAAATACGTGAAAAATATTAATATAAATATTGAGATAAATACGAAAAAAATTGTTTAAATTGAAAATTATGTACCCCAAAAATCTCTATTTCAATTTAATTCAGGATTGGAAATCATTTTATTTTGTATGGTTTAATACTAATCCAATTTATTTCAAAATATTTACTTTAATTTTAAAAATTATGCATTATATATTACATATATTATATTTCGTAATCATATTCATTTCAATATATCATAAATCTTAATCGCCTGTAGTAAATACCCCGCGACCCACTGTGCAGACTATTGCAGTTAGTGTTCGTGCTTTTGCTCGTATTGCGCGCAGGTTTGCCGCTCTTTTTGTTGCTTCTCACGCTGCCGGCATATCTATGTGTATATGTATATAGTCTATATATGCATGTATGTGTATGTGTATGTGCATGCATTTGTGGGTGCGCGTTTGAGCAGTCAAAATAATAACAGCGGCTGCGATTTCACTTTCCATTCAAAAACCCAGAGCCGGCCTAACCTTAAATTCTATGTCATGTTTTAATACTGCTGTATGATAAATGTTGGCACAAACCAGTCAGCAAAATATTTGGAATGTATGTCTCTACATTTATATGTATTGAAAACAAGTGCGGCCTATTATAATTTTAATGAGTTAATTCATACATGAATTTTTTAAATTTAATAATAATTAATAAAATAATATATTGTATTTTACAATTTGATAAAAAATTGTTTTGTAATATATATTAATTTGTATGGCTTAATGTACATCAGTTTATTTTTTTTCTATATCTTTCCATCCTACTTTATCTTAACATTAAGTTGGAAAACTTTTCAAACTACCCTCGTATTTCTTTTACTTGCAGTTGCTAACAATCCGACGTAAAACTAAGCTTCCAATCCGCCGTAAACCTTAAACGATCCACGCAACGAACGCACAATGAATTTCACACCCTTTGGCAACACTTTTCCGGGTCTGCCGCAGTTTACGACGACGACTTCGTCGCCGTTGGTGTCGACGGTAACTGCCGCTGTGGCCGTTGCCGATGCCGATGTGACTGCGGCCAACAACAATCCACAGCAACAGCAGCAGCAGCAAGAGCCTAGCGGCAGCGGCAATCGTTATCAGCAGCAACACCAGCAGCAGCAACAACAACAACAGCAGCAGGTGACAGCAGGCGTATCCATGACGCACTTTAGTCAACCGAGTAGCAGTGTCGCCGCAGCCGCCGGCAGCAAATTTCGCAGCGGACAGGAGGATGCGCTGCAAGGCGACAAATACAATGGGCATTTGGTGGCCACTGCCACACAACAGCAGCAGCAACAGCAACAACAACAACAACAACAGCAGCAGCAGCCGCAGTATGCGACTGTCTATACAGCGAGTGCCACGACGAGTGCAGTGGATGCCATGCAAGCGAGCGGCTCTGGACAACAGCAGCTGCAACAGCAACAAGTGGTGGCACCGCAAGAGCTGACACAGGATCTATGCAATGCCATATTGCAGCAACAAGGTAAGAAAAGTACCTAGAGCAACCTAACGCCTTTAATGCCTTTTCTTTGCATTTACAGTGCTACAGAATACCTCTTGGCAAACGATCACGCCCGGCACCACCGTCGCGGACTACCTCTCGCATCTTCCAGCCAATACGTTGCCACTCTCGCTGCACCACTTTCTCAAGTACTCCGCAGAGACCATCAAAAAGGAGAATCAGCAGAATGTGGTATCTATCTATAGTCATCTCTTGTCTAGACTGTATAACAAATCTATGCTACGAACAGGTGCTGCAGGTGCAGACGGGACCAGGCGCCGCCATTGGCATCAACACCATTGGCACCACAACAACCATAAGCATACCTCAGCAGGAGCAGCAGCCGCTGCATCAGCAACAGCAGCAGCAGCAACAGCAGCAACAGCAGCAGCAACAACAGCTGCAACAGCCACAACAACAACAACAACAACAGCAGCAGCAGGCAACACTGCAATTGCAGACACAGAACGTGGTAGCAAGTAGTTCGACCGCTGTTAGTGTCGCCAAGAAGAAGAAGCGCAAAAAGCGCTCCAAAGAGCGCAAGCCAAAGCTGCGTCCCGGCGAAATAAGAATGGGCACAGCCTTGGACGGTAGCCCACTTTATATGTGCCCCGAATGCCATGTGGCGTATCCGGAGCCGGAGCTGCTCGAGGTGCATCTGGTGGGGCATAATCTAGAGCGACGCTATGTGTGCGACATCTGTCAGGCCTCGCTCAAGCGGAAGGATCATCTGACACGGCACAAGCAATCGCATAATCCCGAACGGCCGTACATCTGCACCGTCTGCCTCAAAGCCTTTAAGCGCAAGGAGCAACTGAGCCTGCACTTTGTCATCCACTCGGGTGAGAAGCGGCATCAGTGCCAGGAGTGCGGCAAAGGCTTCTATCGCAAGGATCATCTGCGCAAGCACACCCGCTCTCACATAGCCCGGCGTGTCAAGGCTGAGCTGAACAGTCATGTGCGTCGAGAGAATGGCACCAGCATGTTGCAGCCGGTGGTAACAGCTGCTACAACTGCAGCCGTGCAGCATGCCAATCAGCAACAATTGCAGCTACAACAACAACAGCAACAGCAGCAACAACAACAGCAGCAGCAGCAGCAGCAACAACAACAACATCACATAGTCGTCAGCCAGCAGCAGCAACAACAACAACAGCAACAGACAACCGGCCAGCAGCAGCAACAGCAGCAAATGTTAAATTAGCCAAATGATTTTTGTAAAGTCAGTTAAATCAAAATTCAAAATCCATGCCACATATTTGATGTAACGTGCGGCATCTACACAAATTGACGCCGCACATACGAAATTCAAGTTCAAGCAATCAAAACCCTCTCGGTCCACGCAATTTAATTGACTCACACAAATCGGATATACGAATATCGTTTACGATATTCAGCAGATGCAATAGCTAAAATTGAATAGTTGTCTCTCTGAGGCACTATTCAACACTGTACAATTATTCCTAGGCAAACAAAGTGACACACAAAACTAGTCCTAATATTATATTTAGTGCTGTAAAACTGGGACCATAAACTTGATTGATTTATCTTACGAAATAAGAACTATTACAGTCAATTGGTCATAAATGAAAAATATTAAATTTCTATAATTGTTATTATATTATTAAAAATTATTATATTTTATGTAACTGAATAAGTAAAAATTGTAAATCCGAATTCTAAATATTTTATATTCAAGCGAAGACTGTAATTTATCCAATACTAAAGGTTTAAAAATGTACTGCTATGTTAAATTAAAATCATAATTTATATATTTAATCTTACACAACAATACCCAACTTGTTCCTATGGAACTTAAATGATATAGGTATATAAAATATACTATAAAAGCTTCTGTTAAATGTGACGATTAGTGAAGTTTGATGAAGATTATGTTCCTTAACGTTATACTTTGCCATCTACTTATACACGTGTCCAATAAGTTCCAAGATTTTTTTCAAATTACTGGGTATCTTTATGAGAGTTTATGTATTCAGGTAATTTCAAACAAGCTCAAGTTTGGGTCCCAGTTGTGCCGATCGCTAAATTCCATCGGCTCTTAGTTTAAGACAAATGTGCAAAGATATTATAATTTTATATGCGAATCGCGTATTTTAGTGAAATGTATTTTTGTATAAAGTGAAAATATGTACATAAATATATATTTAAAAAAATATGTTGCATGCAAATGCAGCAAACTATTTATGTACTCCTAATAATGAAACAAAGCGCAATTTAGATCTAAGAACGAATTAGATCTATGTGAATGTACTACGACTTTTGATAACACCGATTAAAAAATTTGTAAATACACATGAATTTTGTTTTCATATTTATTTATAAAAGCATATATTTGCCAATTCTTTTATATAAATTAATTTCTGCTTATAAATCTCAAGATGCCTCTGTAAAAATTGTCAGACGAAAGAAAATTCGGAAAAACGAAAACGTTTTATGGCGTACGTATAAGCCATAGGTGACATCGAAAGTGGATATTAGAAGGAAGCTATATTTAAACATATAAATACAAATCTTATTACGTTCTCGGAATTTTTAAAACTTATACAAAATTCAACGTAAAATTCATGGAAACCAAAAAAGAGGTTAAAGCAACGGATAATACCTCCCCATTTGACTGCAACATTTGTTTGGGTACTGCCAAGAATGCTGTGATCTGTGTGTGTGGCCATCTGTTCTGTTGGCCCTGCCTGCACCTCTGGATGCTGACTCCTTGCACCCTGCGTAGATGCTGTCCCGTGTGCCGATCACGGCTGAACATCACGAAAGTAATACCGCTGTATGGACGAAACAGTGAGGTACAGGCTGCCAACGGTGAAATGGCGCCGCGCCCTCTGCCACAGCGGTTGGAGCCGAGTCCGTCAAATGGATCGCTCTATTTCGGCTTCCTACTTGGCTTTCAAACATCACTCGGCTATGGCAGCTTTCCGATTGAGACTCTCGCATCCGCTCTGAATTTAAACGATGAGCAGGCGCTGTTTCTATTTTTCGGTCTCTTTTGCCTCGGCTGGCTGATGTTCTAACGGCGGAGAAATAAAATTCGAATAGACTTTTTGGAATATTCTTATTAATTTATGTATATATATGTATAGGTCCAACTTTATCATACAGCAGTTGTATTCACTAATAAAGTAAATTGTAATCAGACCGTAAAAGTGTTTTGTTTTGATTATTTTTTCATTAATATGGATCAAAAACTATATTGAGTCATTCGCTTTAATCTAGATCATCTTTTAATAAATTGTCAACATTTGCTTTCTTACTGTTAATTAATTTCGGTAAACTATATTTATTATGCACCATTTATTATATTCAATCAAGTAATCAGTATAATTATGATGTAATTATAATTAATTATTCATGTAGTTGGATGCGATTTGTGTATGTATATGTTTTATCATATTTACGTGCTGTTCTTTATGTATATATATACTGTATATGATCGATCTTTGCCTGCGTACAGCTTAAATTAAAATATTACAAAATATACGTTAAGTTCATTAAATATGTAGGCAATTAAGGAAGTTGGCGTTTGAAATGGGCTAGAGCCGGGGCGGGGCGGGGTGGTCGTGTCAGCGCCAGGGGCGTTTACGGGGGATAACTACATCGCAGAGATTAGCAGATTCATTCAGTCAAGCCTTTATAAAAAAAATATGCTTGCTTGATCTAATTAAAATCTGCGAGAACAATTTCATGTTTCATGTTTCATGTTTTCATTTCAATATATATATAAAGAGACATATGCATGTGTGTGCGTTTTTGTGTGGGTGTGTGTTTGTGTGTGTGTGTGTGAATGTTGTGTGTGTATATGTATGTATGTGCCAATAGCTGCAAGGCGTCCAGGATGTTCAGTCCTTGGGGCACTTCCTCACTCATCAATTTTTAATACAAGTCGAGTCTTACAAAATGTTACTTTGTTCCTTTTGTTGTAAGTGTAGGCGAGTGTGTGTGGAGGGTGTTTATTTTTGGTTGATTTGTTGTGTTTCGTTTTCGTTGCGTAAAGAGAAATTTAATCACTGTACAAAAGAGCGACAGGGAACACTTTCGCTTCGCCAGGCCCTCACCTATGGGCCACACAAATATTTTCGCTTCTGATCATCCATATAATCGCGCGTCGACATTTGGATGGCTCGCTGCAGCATCTCGTTCTCATTGACTCCTGTAAGGAATTGAAAGTAAGTACCTGCTATAAATAATAATGCAATTTCTGCACAGACCGTCGTTAGCATAAGAAGCCTCCAGGAGCTCTTGGTAAAAGCTCGAGTAGCTTTGCTTGGGCGGCGATTTGGGTTCCACGCGTTTGGGTGGTGACTGTGATGACTGCTTGGAGGTGCATGGTTGCTGTTCCGCTTCTGGTGTACGTTCCCTAGCAACGGCAGGCACAGCTTCACGTTTCGGACTCTTACGTTGTGGCGTTTCATGTACATGGGTTTCCAGGCTGCAATGATTATTCAATGTGAGAGCAGTCGAGGGCAAGGTAAGGATTTAACTGCCACATACCTATTGCCTGGCTCGCGCACTTCGTGACGACGTTTCTTGCTGCTGCGCAGGTTGTTGCTGCGACGCTGTGATTTTGACAGTTTATTGGAGCGCTGCGCTGGGGCTGTGTTGGGCGAGGCATTACCTCCACAGTGACCCACAGAGCTGGTGCTGCTCATATCCGTCGCATCGCTCTCGTAACCGCCCAGTTCATTTACCTCGGGCGGCAACTTGTGTGCATATTGACCAAGTGTTTTAGGCGATAGCGTGTAAACCGTGGCTGGGCCATCGCCAATGCTGGAGCTGCTCATTGGGGCTGCTGTGTTTGCTGTTGTTGTTACTACTGCCACCGCCGCCGCCACTACCTCCTCCGTCACTCGAGTACTTTGAAGGCGAGGCATCTGAGTCGGTTAGGGCCTCGGCTGAAGTCACTGTTGAAGATGTTGCCGAACCGGCGGCTGTATTGTTGTTGCGCGAACGCTGCATATTATCACGGCACCATTGCAAGTAGGACTCACGAGCAATTTGCTCCTCTATGGCCTCGTTGGTGGCTTCCCAGTCTGTTGTCTTCAGCTTTGTCCTCAAACATAGTCTATGCAGAATATATATATTTATTTATTTGCATTTTGTTATTTATAGTCGGAGTTGGCACTCACCTGTTCAATTTCTAGCTGCTCGCTTAAACGCACTGCCTCCTTGGTCTGAAACTCGGGCTTGTAGCCAGCCAAGCCCAAGCCGACGCCTACGGTGGCATTGTACGGATCCAGTATGGCATTGTAGTGGGAGCCTCGTTGATAGGACAAACGCAACGGTGGATAGCCAGCCTGCGATTGCTCTGAGTTAAAGATGTTAATGGGTGCTGAAATTTATAGAAACGTAAAGGGCATTAGAAAAGAGGACCAAAAGATCCTAAGATCAAGTGCTATGGTAAATAGGAAAGTTACGATGCAAACTTATTAATGGTGGGTATGATTTGAAGTTTATTGAGAGTCAATATCTGAAGGGGGTAAATAATACATTCTCATATTAAAAAGAGCCACACGGTTCAATACATACGACGATATTGCTAGAAACTCTTCTGATATATTACATATTTAATACAGATAAAGAGCCTTAAACACTCTTAAAAGTAATAACTTATATTCTTCATTCAAAGCCGGAAATCAGACTTGTCTTGTGCTTATACATGTCGATATTTAAAGTACATCGATCATAAAAGTAAAGAAAACAGCTCACTGTGAAATACACCTCCTAAAACAATCAGTACACTTCACTTGGGCGCAAGCGACTACGCAATTTATGGAAAATTCATTTGAAATTGACTGCTGATAATTTAGATAAAAGAACACGAGACTTGATTACTCACTCGACTGATAACAGAAGACTTCGACGGTGCGACTGTAGATCTCGGATATGGCCTGTATCTCTATGTGATTGCCGTGTGCATCGCGGGCACGTTTGCGTTGAATATATCCATTGATGTCCTCGGTGACAAACTGACCAAAATACTCGCGATTCTCATGCTACAAGAAAAGCAGATAAAACATTAAAATAAATAAGCAAATTAGTGTATTAATATAGCTATTCATGTATTACTATGTAGTCCATTGTGTGCTGCCGTTATGACATCGTGCATGCCCTCGTCGCCGTAAATCTGCAGAGATATGGATCGAAAGAGACAGGCACCATCTTCCTCTACGGGCTTTAGTTCGTAGCCCACGCTTCTCCATACATTTGGCAAACTCTTCATCGCGCCGCTTCCACTCCTCCACTGAAATAGTGCGCTCCTTGGGTTGCAGATGCTCGTCGCGCTATTGTAGCCAGAGAAAGTCTCTTCGACAGCTTTCAGCATATTCGCTGCCGCAGCGGCCGGTGTTATTTGAGTTTGCACTTTCGGCACATTGGCACAGCCCAAGCCCAGATGCTCCGGCGATTTGCGACCGACAGCTGTGGGAGTGCTGCTGTTGCCCGCTCCGGCAGCAACGCCCGCAGCTACTACTGCATGCGGACTGCTACATTTGCTGCTGACGCCCGCAACACCACTACCAACCACAGTCGGATGATTAAGATTCAGTTTCTCGCGCTCCAAACGATCCCGTTTATGATGATGTGCATGACCTTCATGATGCTCGCGACGCTTCGAACGGGAACTGTGATAGAGAAGAAATTGACAAGTATTAGATAATGAATGTCAAAGAACAGATCTGATTGAACATGATTTACCTGGTAAAAATAACAAGAATATAATCAATATAAAATATAAACAATATCCGTCTTATAATGTTATATAAATATAGCTCTTTCTTCCTTAGCAATCTATGCAATAAATATAAACTTAATAAAATAATAAACATTCTCAAGAATATGTAAATAATGTAGCGATTTTAGGATACAAAACTCTGAAAGACACGGTTTTTCTTATATTTCTAATCTTATGTACAAAATCACTATTCAGAATTCATATTTACTATACCATCTTCTCATATATAAATAGCTCTAACCTATCTTCTACGCAAGATGTTTTCATGCTAAAGAATCCATATAAAATATAACTTAATGATTTTCTTAAATATATATAACTTTGCTTCAAAACAAGAGCTTTGTGTGGAATCTAATATAACATCTCATATACAGTAGTTCTCCTCGCCAATAAATTTGTATAAGCCACGTCAAAAGCTGTCATAGACGAACATGAGAAGCCGAGAAATATACCCATAGGATTGACTGAACTTTAACACTTACCTTTTATGTGGACTGCAACGGTGTGTGCGTGTCAGCTCGTCGTAGACTTCGCCGCGTCGTTGTGGACTCTACGAACATTAACAAATTAAAATGTTAAATAATGTGGGTTAATATTAGAATGAATACAAAACACACCTGGCCAGGGCCATCGATGACAACATTGCGATTGTGATTGATTGACAACCGATTGTTCGACGACCACTACCTGTCCTGAGACGTGAGCCTCCGGTGGCATCCGCATCGACAACGCGCTTGCCACTCGGCGCACTGACTGGCTTGATAGTCATGGTTTAGCTGCGGACTGTGGCTGCGGCTGTCGTCTGTGAACTACCACGCAATAGTATAACGAGCAGCTCCAAACTAAATCTTCGAATGTGAAAGCTTAACCACATGTGTGAATGGCAAATTTGTTTAGCTGTTTGGCCAGCTCAGAATTAGATTTTCTTCTCCGTCTATATATATATATACATACATATATCTCTATATATATTTATAAATATATATATATACAAATATCTGTGTATGGGGCACTTTTACTGCAAGTTCTTTGTCCGTGTGGCAAAGGATTCCCTTGCTTGACGCACGCACTTGTTCAATTCTCTTTTTTTTTGTTTTATATTATTGTTATTGTTGTTTTTGTTGTGGCTGCTGCCTCCCAAAAAAAATTGATGTAGTAATTTATTTAGACCGCACAACTATGAAATCATATACATAGCCAGAGTAAATGGTTGAAAATTTTGTGATTTTCATTTGAATGTGTGTGTATGTGTGCATATGTGTAGTGTTTGCTCGCAATCGTCTTTGTCTCTTGCACTGTTGCAGAAACGATTAATAAAATACGTCGCTTAGTTGTATAATTGCGTACACTGCACTCTATATAAAAAACACCAATATCATAGTTTATCACAATCTCTTGCACAGTTTGTTTTTTTTTTTGTTTTGTTTTTTTTGTTGTTAGAAACGTAAAAGCCAGGATAGTCTGTTCGATTTTATTTACACCAATCACAAACTCGTCAGATGCGCACGTTCTGCTTCTTCTTGCTACTTTGGTGTTTTTTAGGCCATTTTAATAAGTCAGCTTGTCGCGACATACGGAGAACATCTGATAAAAATGTTGACCGCCAGTGTTGCCTTATTAGTTTTATTTAATTTAAATTTGTATCTATTATTACAACATGGTTTTGTTGATAAAAAAGCTACGATTACTTTGAATATAAAATTTTTGTTTTGTAATAATATATTTTTTTTAATAATACCAAATTTTTTTAATTATACTAAAAATTTTTAAGTAGAATGCAGAGCATTAACAAGCTTTTAAACTTTCTGAAAATTATTTTATTCTATATTCATTTATTTATCCACAAATATTTAAACAAATGTATTTTTCTATATTTGCTGTCTAATACAAATTAGTATAATAAATCATCCAGATAACAGCTGAGCTAATATTGCCTAGCTTAAATTCTAGCATTATTTTAATTTGTTTTTCTGTAGTTAATTTAGTTAGTTTTTTTTTAAAGAAATTTTAAAATGAGCCACCTAAGTCTACATAAATAAGAAGTAGTTCCAAAAAATATCCAGGATTTTGAAACCTTATACTAAATTATTTTGGAAATAAAATTCGCAAAATATATTGGTTTGCATATATATTTTATAAACTTTTAAGTACAGAGCTCCCAACATAGTCATTTTTAATACGCTAACAAGCTGTTAGTTAATATATTGACCATTCCAAACGTTGGTACCCCATCCACTTCCATAATAATCCCATGACGGTCTGGCTCCTAGCCATTGTGCCTGAGTTCCCCACCAGTAGATAGGATAGTGTCCAACGCCGTAACGTGCGTCACCTCCATTAACATATCCATTAGCCTGTCTCCTATTTATCGCAAACTTTCTAGCTTGAATCTGTGCATTTCCTGGTTGAACGCCATCTGCAACATTTGATAAAATGGTTTCTTGACCCCTTTTAATAACCTTTCCAATAACACCGGAACGATTTGTTGATTTAAATAATCGTTTGAGCCAAAACGGTGGCTATTTGATGAACCAGACTTTGAAATGTCCGTTTCACTCCTAGCGCCACTGTCAACTATTGTCGTAGATCCAGATTGGCTGTTAACCGTTTTAGTCTCTCCAGAAACTACTGTAACGACTGGACTAACTGATGAGTTAGCTTGTTCAGAGCTCGTCGTAGTCGTTGTCGAAGTCGAAGAGGATCCAGATTGACTGTTTCCGGAAACCACTTTCACCACGGGCTCATCTGCTGACTTCGTAACCTTAGAGGTGGTTGTAGTCGTAGTCGAAGAGGATCCAGATTGACTGTTTCCGGAAACCACTTTCACCACGGGCTCATCTGCTGACTTCGTAACCTTAGAGGTGGTTGTAGTCGTAGTCGAAGAGGATCCAGATTGACTGTTTCCGGAAACCACTTTCACCACGGGATCGATTGCTGACTTCGTTATCTTGGTGGTGGTTGTAGTCGTAGTCGAAGAGGATCCAGATTGACTGTTTCCGGAAACCACTTTCACCACGGCTCATCTGCTGACTTCGTAACCTTAGAGGTGGTTTGTAGTCGTAGTCCGAAGAGGATCCAGATTGACTGTTTCCGGAAACCACTTTCACCACGGGCTCATCTGCTGACTTCGTAACCTTAGAGGTGGTTTGTAGTCGTAGTCGAAGAGGATCCAGATTGACTGTTTCCGGAAACCACTTTCACCACGGGATCGATTGCTGACTTCGTTATCTTGGTGGTGGTTGTAGTCGTTGTTGAAGAGGATCCAGATTGACTGTTTCCGGAAACCACTTTAACCACGGGCTCATCTGCTGGACTTCGTAACCTTAGAGGTGGTTGTAGTCGTAGTCGAAGAGGATCCAGATTGACTGTTTCCGGAAACCACTTTCCCCACGGGATCGACTGCTGGCTTCGTAACCTTAGAGGGTGGTTGTTGTCGTTGTAGAAGAGGATCCAGATTGACTGTTTCCGGAAACAACTTTCACCACGGGCTCATCTGCTGACTTCGTAACCTTAGAGGTGGTTGTAGTCGTAGTCGAAGAGGATCCAGACTGACTGTTTCCGGAAACCACTTTCACCACGGGATCGATTGCTGACTTCGTTATCTTGGTGGTGTTGTAGTCGTAGTCGAAGAGGATCCAGACTGACTGTTTCCGGAAACCACTTTTACCACGGGATCGACTGCTGGCTTCGTAACCTTAGAGGTGGTTGTTGTCGTTGTAGAAGAGGAGGATCCAGATTGACTGTTTCCGGAAACCACTTTCACCACGGGATCGACTGCTGACTTCGTAACTTTAGTGGTGGTTGTAGTCGTTGTAGAAGAAGAGGATCCAGATTGACTGTTTCCGGAAACCACTTTCACCACGGGATCGACTGCTGGCTTCGTTATCTTGGTGGTGGTTGTAGTCGTAGTCGAAGAGGATCCAGATTGACTGTTTCCGGAAACCACTTTCACCACGGGATCGACTGCTGGCTTCGTAACCTTAGAGGTGGTTGTAGTCGTAGTCGAAGAGGAGGATCCAGATTGACTGTTTCCGGGAAACCACTTTCACCACGGGATCTACTGCTGGCTTCGTAACCTTAGAGGTGTTGTAGTCGTAGTCGAAGAGGAGGATCCAGATTGACTGTTTCCGGAAACCACTTTCACCACGGGATCGACTGCTGACTTCGTAACTTTAGTGGTGGTTGTAGTCGTTGTGGAAGAAGAGGATCCAGATTGACTGTTTCCGGAAACCACTTTCACCACGGGATCGACTGCTGACTTCGTAACCTTAGAGGTGGTTGTAGTCGTAGTCGAAGAGGAGGATCCAGATTGACTGTTTCCGGAAACCACTTTCACCACGGGATCGACTGCTGACTTCGTAACTTTAGTGGTGGTTGTAGTCGTTGTAGAAGAAGAGGATCCAGATTGACTGTTTCCGGAAACCACTTTCACCACGGGATCTACTGCTGGCTTCGTAACCTTAGAGGTGGTGGTGTAGTCGTAGTCGAAGAGGAGGATCCAGATTGACTGTTTCCGGAAACCACTTTCACCACGGGATCGACTGCTGACTTCGTAACTTTAGTGGTGGTTGTAGTCGTTGTAGAAGAAGAGGATCCAGATTGACTGTTTCCGGAAACCACTTTCACCACGGGATCGACTGCTGGCTTCGTTATCTTTGGTGGTTGTAGTCGTAGTCGAAGAGGATCCAGATTGACTGTTCCGGAAACCACTTTCACCACGGGATCGACTGCTGGCTTCGTAACCTTAGAGGTTGTCGTTGTCGTTTGTAGAAGAGGAGGATCCAGATTGACTGTTTCCGGAAACCACTTTCAACACGGGCTTCATCTGCTGACTTCGTAACCTTAGAGGTGGTTGTAGTCGTAGTCGAAGAGGATCCAGATTGACTGTTTCCGGAAACCACTTTCACCACGGATCGACTGCTGGCTTCGTAACCTTAGAGGTGGTTGTTGTCGTTGTAGAAGAGGAGGATCCAGATTGACTGTTTCCGGAAACCACTTTCACCACGGGATCTACTGCTGGCTTCGTAAACCTTAGAGGTGGTTGTAGTCGTAGTCGAAGAGGAGGATCCAGATTGACTGTTTCCGGAAACAACTTTCACCACGGGATCGACTGCTGACTTCGGACCTTGAGTGGTGGTTGTAGTCGTTGTTGAAGAGGATCCAGATTGACTGTTTCCGGAAACCACTTTCACCACGGGCTCATCTGCTGACTTCGTAACCTTAGAGGTGGTTGTAGTCGTAGTCGAAGAGGATCCAGATTGACTGTTTCCGGAAACCACTTTCACCACGGGATCGACTGCTGGCTTCGTAACCTTAGAGGTGGTTGTAGT